TGACCTTGTCCTGCAAATGGGCTACAGAGCCATACCTGTCACTGTCCTAATCTGATTGGGAGAGCAGGAGATACCAGATTATCTAAATCCATTTGGGTATTGAGTTCCAGGAGCAGGGGTGAGAATTCCGATGATTGAGCTTTATCCAACATATATTCAACTCAGTGTGCTTCCGGAGGTCAGCTGACATGGGAAGCCTGGACTGTCTCTATCCTTGAGGTTGTTTCAAAGAGTCAGAGAGATGCTCAGGTAAAGAATTTAGCACAGATCCTGGCTGAGAGCATGCATTCACTGCATGGGACACATTCATGGTAACTTTGGAGTGAAAGAACGAACAAACAGTTGAGGTGTGGAACCCTGTCCCCAGTTCCTCCTGCAGGGAAGCAGGGGAGAAGCATCCAGCCCTGCACCCCCGCTTCCCTGTGGTCCAGAAAACATTGGTGCCGTCTGCACCAGGTGTAGCAGCAGAAAGTGCCCACTCCCAGGGGAGGAAGACCACATGGGAACAGCGGGGAGAATGAGATCCTGACCATCCAGAAGGAGGGGGCCAGGGATGAGGAGTGGACACCTGCGAAATCCGGCCGAGGACGCCACAGTGGCCTTCCGCTCTGGTCCCGTGGCTGAACGCGCTCCCTTTACAGTTTAAATTTAGGCTCAATGAAAGGAAGCTGGTGTTGGCAAGAGCCAGGGCTGCGGAAAGGATAGAGGGTTTCCAGAAAACGTCAGCGAATAGCCAACACTTATGCGGTGCTGACTGTGGGCACATCCACGCATGTTACAGATGTTAACTCGTTTTCTCTTCCTAGCAACCCTGTGAGAAGGCATGAGTATTATCATCCTTATTTTACAGAAGGAGAATAGAGGCCCAGAGAGGTGGAGTCATTTGCCTGAGGTCACACAGCTAGTAAGAGGCAGAGATAAGATTTGAACCCTGACAGTCTGGTCTCAGAGCCCCTGCTCTTAACTACTGTGCTGTACTGCCCCAATAATGACAGTAATAATATTAATAATAGTAAACATGTATCAAATGCTATGTATATGTCAGGTACTATTCTAAGGATTTTTAGAGCTTGTTTAATTCTCACAACACTCCCATGAAAGAGATATTGTGATTATCAACTTTTTTAAATCATTTTTTGTTGTTGTTATTTTTATTTGGGGATTTTATTTTATTTATTTATTTTTAGCTGCGTAGGGTCTTCGTTGCTGCGCTCAGGCTCTCTCTAGTTGCGGCGAGTGGGGGCTACTCTTCGTTGCGGTGCGTGGGCTTCTCATTGCAGTGGCTTCTCTCATTGTGGAGCACGGGCTCTAGGCGCGCGGGCTTCACTAGTTGTGGCTCGTGGGCTTAGTTGCTCCGCGTCATGAGGGATCTTCCTGCACCAGGGATCGAACCCGTGTCCCCTGTATTGGCAGGTGGATTCTTAACGACTGCACCACCAGGGAAGCCCTCCACTTTCTATAGATGGGGAAACTGAGACCCAGAGAGGTTGAGTCACTTGCCCAAGGTCACACAGCTGGCAAGTGGTAGAGCCAGGATTTGAACCTGAGTCTTCTCCTTGTAGAGCTACAGCTCTTGGGCACCTACAGCCACCTGAATGACACAGAGGACCCTCGAGTTACACAGGGAGGCAGGTTGAGGGCGATCCCGAAGCCCATCCAAGGCTGGTTATTGAGAATCACAGTAACAACGATGGCTCTAGGGAAGCAGCCTGGCCTCATTTGCAGACCGGGACCAGGGAGGTCAAGCCACTTGCCCAAGCTTGCACAGCAGGCTCAAGGCACACTCAGGCTGCCACCTGACCGTGCCCGGCCCCTGCAGCCAACAGAGACATGGCGTCCATCGTGTCCGAGATCATGATGTACTTGCTCATCGTGGTGTTGACCATATGGTTCGTGGCAGAGATGGTTTACTGCTACAAGAAGATCGCCGCTGCCACGGAGGCTGCTGCGCAAGAGAACGCGTGAGTGGGGTCGCTGAGGAGGGGGAGAGGCGGCCCAGGACAGCCAGCGCTTCCCAGAGGGGAGCATGAGCTGAGTGGGGAGGTGGGCCGGGGAGCAGCCCAGGGCGCCATCTGCTGGTCGTCCCCGGAGGGGACCATTTGGTGTCAGAGATGGGATGAGGTCCCAGCCCCTCCCCCCTCAGACTCTCAGCCCCCACTTCTGTCAGGACCCAGGGTTTGGGCCCAGCATCCTCTGCCCCAAAGATACAGGACTCCAGGCCCTAGCCCTTTTCCCCCCCAGGACCCAGGAATCTGAACCCCCCAGTCCCTGCTCCCTCAGACTCAGACTCCAGGCCCTCAACCCCTTTCCCCGCTAGAACCCAGGAGTCTAACCCCCCAGATACCTCCTCCCTCAACATTCAGGACTCCGAGCCCCAGCCTGGGCTTCTTTTGGATCCCTGGGATCCAGCCAGCCAGCCCCCTCTTCTCTCTGACTGGAGCCCTGTGCACCTGGGACAGAGACCTCAACCCTCCTTGGCCTCCGGGGGGTGGGCCAGAGTGACGTTGGGGTTGCTGTACCCCTGACCTTTGGCCCCACAGCTCGGAATACCTGGCCATCACCTCAGAAAGCAAAGAGAACTGTACGGGCGTCCAGGTGGCCGAATAGCCCTGGTAAGGTGGCTGGGCAGGCAGGGGCTGGAGGGCCTGGGAGGTGTCAGCCATTAGGTGCCTGATGCCCTGTGTCTCCCTCACCTTTAGGCCGTGGGCTCCGCCTCAAGGAAGAGCCAGCCCTAATGGGGAACATCCGGGCACAGCCTGCCCCCAATGGGGGTTGGCTATTCCTGGGCCTCCACAAGCCTCAAAGTCCTGCCAATGGAGCCTCCAGGGTGGGAGAGGGCCAGGGGGCTTGGCTCACACCCCGAATCCAGCCTCTTCCTCCTGCCCCATCACCCGCCCGCGCCGTGCATGATGGGTAAAGCAATACTGCCGCTGCCCCCATGCCTGCTTCTGCTGCCTGTTTGGGAGGGGGCGGTGAGGTGGGGGCAGCGGCTCCGCACCCCTCTTTCTTGCTGATTTGCACACATTGGCCGCTTTGGACACGCACTACTGGGGCCCAGCCCCTCTCTGCCCCCTCCCCGCCCGGTGAGGGTTATGATGGGCTGGAACAGCTTGGGACAGGGGGTTCTGGGACCCACTCCGACCCCCAGCGACATTTCCCCTCCTGCTTCCTCTGGCTGGACCTGGGGTCTCCTCTCCCTGTGATGCACTCTCACCCCAGCCCAACCCGCCGTCTCTCACCAGCCTTGGATTGTGGCCACTTCGAAAGGGGCCCATTCAGCCTCGTCTCTCTTTACACAAGTAGTTTTGTTCATGAAATAAAGATTCTTGGACTTGCTTCATAGTCTCTCTCGTGAGCCCAGTCACCTTCTACACCCTCTCCAGATTCAGGAGCCTCAGTTTTCCTGGGGACTGGCCCTCCAGGGCAGGCAGCAGGGCCTCTCCACACACATTCGGGGATAAGATGGTGGCAGTGTCCCAGGCTCAGCGCCTGCCTGAAGGCTCAGCGGGTGCAGCCACTTGATACTTGATTAATGTGTTGGGGTCTGGGGAGTCATTAGCTCAGCGGGGACCAAGAGTTTCGAGGGAGCCAGCAGAAGCCAAGGAAGCAGACTGGTAGCCGGTGTCAGGGGGGGTGATGAGGGAAGGAGAGAGAGGGCCATGAATGGAGAGAGAGGTGGAGAGGCTAGGGGCTGCGCAGTGCCAAGGCTGCACCAGTGTGGCCCCCTGTGGGAGGCTGTGGCTCTGAGTGCAGGGGGTGCGAGGGGTGAGCGGGTGGGTCCGATTGTACGGGGACGGCCCATCTGCAGTGAGCAGCTGTGGTCTGACTGTGTTTGAGGGCATGGCTGTCCGCAGGCGGGTGTCTGCTGGTGATCCTTGTGTGTCTGGGTGTTTATCTGGCCCTGGGGTCTGACGTGGATGACTCTTGGCTGCTGGCCAAGGGTGTCTGATGCGGGACAGTGTGTATCTGCCTCTGGACACTTCCGGCCACTTGGCCTGGGCCTCAGCACTCAATGCTGCCTTTTCCGGGCCAGGTCCCCATCCCCCACCCCCGTCTAGGACTTCCCAGCTCCAGAGGTCATTGCTGCTGGCGGCAGAGAGGCTGCCAAAGCAAACCAGCCCCCGTGACTTGTAGGAAAGCAGCTGGGGGGAGGGGGTGGGGAGGGGAGGGAGAGCAAGGGCGGGGGCAGGCGTCGGGACTGGGGCTGGGCTGGGGACACTGGAGGGGCAGAGGCTGGTGCAGGAGTTGGGGTGCGGGAGGGGTCTGGGGCACGGGCTGGGCTGAGGCCGGCCTGGAGCTGGGACCGCCTTGTTCAGGAGTTGGACAACAGGTGCAGGAAATGGCAGGGGCAGTGGTGGGCCTGGGGCTGGGCCGAGGGTGCTGGAAGGGGCAGGGGTGCACAGGGACGGGGTTCAGCCTGAGCTGGGGCAGGGCGGG